TAAAACGGACCTAACGACGTCAGCGAGCGCGCTGAAGATCTGAAGTTCAGTGTGCGTCTGTCAGAGGTAACCACGGCTCACGGGTGCACAAGTGAGCACATCTGGGCTGGGCAGAAGTAATTTTACAACATTGGTTTAAATAGCGCCAATAACGAGACGCGGTGACTTGAGCGGCTCATGGAGCTGTGCCGCGCGCGCACACACACAGATTCAATAAGCGCGCACGCTGCGCAAACTCCGGCGCACCGTCAGACTGAAGGCAGAAATGAGCGCTGCCTCCTCTGTGATTAAAAAACTTTTAAGAGGTTTTATAACAACATTTTAAATTCAAGGTCAAATTAAGATATTAGCTTCTATTTTGGGATGACGTATTAAAGTCGGGTCCGCTCCAGCCAGTGACTCTGAACCTGCAGCATTAGTTATTCCTGTCCATGTGGCAGCGGATCGCAGATTCAGCCACACCATAAAACAGCAATAAGTCGGTCTGAGGCAAAAGTGAACCTCATGGCTATAGCTTTTCCATATTTTCCCCTATAGACATTTGATTACGCACAAGTAGGTGACCAGTTCAGGTTTACGCAGAGCAGAAGGAAGGAGAGCGCTCTGGCCACAGGTTAATCGTTCCTACTTTAAGAAAACCGTTAAATTGCATTGTTCATGTGCTACCTGGGCACTCTAAATATTTATTTAAAATTAAATCAAAGGAAATTGTAATGGTATCGAATGCTTATTAATTACTATTTAAAAAATGAAAGTGATGGGGAAAAAGGTCGATCATATTCTTTTTAACCCTGTCTGTTTAACTTGACGCCTGATATATATATATATATATATATATATATATATATATATATATATATATATATATATATATATATATAGATAGATAGCCATGCCCTGATGTGGTGGCTGGGGGGTGCGTCATCATGGTCGGGACATAGAAGGGGGTGCGTGGCTAAATAAGTTTGGGAACCACTGTAGTAATGCAACACACTGCTCTAATAAAGCATATTTAATAACTTTAAGTCCTACAAGAAGCCCTGAACTCGAGTTGTAATATCCATTTTAAAGTGTTGATTGAAAGCTAGAATTCTGCTCCAGCTTACCTTGAAGAAAATATGTAGCTGTTTATGCTTTGAATGATGATCTATTATGTTCAGTAGAATACATTTTACAATCATTACTTTATATTTTTATGTGAAGACAGTACATGCATCTATAACCCAGTTTATCTGGCTTCTATAGCAACTAATTAAAAAGAAATTTTCAATAAAACTGTATGGTTCATCACAGTAGATAAAAAAGTGTTAACTGTGAAAAAATGAACACCAAACTTGTAAAACATGCATAATAGCATTTTTAATAAAGCATTTTACCAACATTATGTTTAGTCATTACATATGCACAAATAAGCTGAATCATTAATTATGAGCAATGTACTCAAGACCTAATGAAACTCTTTTGAATAACTTTATTTTGATTATTATTAAAATAAAATGTGTCCGTGGGTTAAAATTTGAAATGACTAATTTTAGGGTTGGATACAATTTTTAAATGTAATTTTACATCTCTATATTTTTGGTTTAGTTCAATATTTCTATATGTACAAAAATAGTATTTTAATAATCCCTTTATAGGTTGATTATCTTACCGTGGTTGGCTGCGCTGCATATAGCAATTGGTCTGAGGGAGGAATCAGAATTATGGCTTACCCAAAGATGCAGAGAGAAGAAGAAAATGGTTGGCTCAAGTCAGCAGGAGCAACCTCACCATGACCAGAGATCACAATAAGAAAAAGCTGTGTGCAGTGAGTTTAATGTGCACTCTCAAATGTTTTCTATCAAGGCTCTACATGTTCTGCTCTCAACTGCACAAGGCTGCAATTAAACTGTTAAATGTGGCAGGAAATAAACTAATACACCACTCTACAGGCACATTGTGGGGAGGGACAGTTTACTAAGACTAGGCAAGGCAAGGTGAGACTCAGGCCCTGTCCACACGTAGCCGGGGATCTGCCAAAACGTAGATATTTTTCTACGTTTTGGCCTGTCATCCACACAAAAACTGAGTTTTTTCACATGAAAACGGATCTTTTTAAAAACTCCGGCCAAAGTGAAGATCTGCGTTTTCTCCGTTTTGGGTGTCTGCGTGTGGACAGACAAAACTGGAGTTTTAAGGTCCGCAACGTCACTTTCCGCGACAAAAAAATGCTGACATCACGTGTGCGACCTGTGTTTACACTAGCCGACAGCATGGAAGCCCTCAGAGCTGCACTCGCTTTATCAATTGTCCAAGCGCTTTTTGCTTGTTTGTTTTTGCAAGCGGAATTACTGCTCCTTGCGGGAGACCACAGACGAAGGACGAGGTTAAGAATGGGGGAAGTACTGCCGCCTACAGGTCTGGCATGTCCTTAACAACGTATGGACAGAGTTTTTTTTTAAACGAGGTGGTGTGGATGCAAGTTTTTGGAGGGGCTGATATTCGTTATTAAAAAAAAAATGGCTATGTGTGGACTAGGCCTCAGGGCTGATGCTGTGTTTGTTCATCGCCCTGAACCAAGGAGGAGGAAAGATCCTGCAGTGAGAAGTACAGCAGAACCACTGCATGTTGATCCACTGACCAGTGACCACACATGTTGTCCTCAAGTAAACGGTGGTACAAATCATTTGAAATATTAAGATATTTTTATTTATTTTATTTTAAAATTATTCTTTATTCTAACAGTGCCATTATAATTTCAGAGAATGAGGAAAGCAGCAGCAGCAGTGAGGCAAATGAGATGAGGGAAAGTGAGAGGGGACATGAGATGGTATCAGGAGAGAGGGACATCCCAGGAAGCCATGAGGAGCCGGCGTCAGGGCCAGGAGGAGAAAGGAACAGGCTATGCAACCAGGGAACCCAGCTGGAAAACCTAAGGGAGGAAATAGAAAGTCAAAAAGGCATGAAAAACAAAAGAGGCATTAAATGGAGTAAACAGACAATCAAAAAGGCCGTACAGCTCTGTTTTTCAGTGGGTTCAACAGGCTACAGGTTTCTTCAGGACATGAGTATCCCTCTGCCTGACGTTAGAACCCTGCACAGACAAATGCAGCCCATTAACTGGAACCAGGTGTGTTAGGAGAGGTGTGTGACATGCTCAGTTTGAAGGTTGAAAATCTGACAGAGATGGAAAGAGAGTGTTTGCTTACTGTGGATGAGATGGCAATCACTCCAGGCGTGCATCACTCCATCACAGCCCCAACTGGGTTTTGCCACCTGGTCACCGGGTCAGCTCTCCGCTCAGCCACTATGAAAACATGAAGATGGACACACAACACAGTTAACCTTTAATGGTTACATAAGATTTTTGTTTTAGTTTCTCTTTGACATTTATTTATTGATAATTGTGTTATTGTTAATTCTTAATTCTTGTCATTCCTTAATAACAAAATTGCAAATGCTAATATTATAAAGCAAGTGGAAATGAGCAGTTTTATGGAAAATGTCTAATTTTTAAAAGTTATTGTTCGACTACTATTCTTGAAATATCGTAATTTTATTCTTATTACTTGAGTACACAAAACAGAACAACATATCTTCTTATGTGCGTAATCCTGTTTGTCTCATGCTTCAGCAGTTTGTTGCAGTCAGTGTTATTAACTGAAAAATATTAAATAATTACTTGTCTTCACAATCACATTTTCTTTATTATTGGTCTCTCCATTTGTGCTTCCATTTCTGGTGCATGTTCGTGTTGATACAGCAACCAGCAACGTATTGTACAAAAAATCCCAAATAAAACTAATAATGTAAAAAGTTTATTTCAAACTGTGGGGAATATTTTTAAAACGTAGAATCAAACAAACTGAAATAAACCCGTCTACAGCTCATCCTCCTGCTCACAACCAACAAGCTGCACACAGGTAGCTCTTTAAAGGTTATCTAGCTAAAACTGGCAACATAAAATACCATCGTTGGCTTATTTTGGTACGAAGCGGTTAGCTAACGCTTCACAATGCAACAAAATGATGACATTTCATCAACTTACCGGAGAAAATCCTTCCGAAACACCGAAAATGAACAGTAGTCAATGCAGCAGCGGGGGCTGTTTGGAACTATTCGAAGCTACATGAGCCACGTGACTCCCGCATTCCGTGACGTAACTCTCTCTACAGCTCTGACAGAACACTGCCCTCCTCTCCCAATGATTGGACAGGAATTCGAGAAACGTGATTGGTAGCTAAGACTCGTGCTCTCATTGGTTCCACCCAAGTTCCTCCCACTGACGCTAGAATTGAGACAAAAAGATCTGTAACACTGTAGATTTGAGGTTTGTACCTGTAGAATGAAATGTGTGTTTTGAGAGTTTTGATTTCAAACTTGTACCTTGATGTTTTCATTTTGGAAGTCTGCTAGTTACAAAACGAAAGTTTCATGTTTCTGAATGAATGTTTGATGTTACAAAATGAGTAGTAAATGTACAAAATAAAAGTTTGATTTTACAAAATAAAAAACACATGTACAAAATTAAAATTTCCTGTTACAAAACAAGAAATACAAGTACAGATTGAGAATTACAAGTTAGAAAACTAAAGTTACAAGTTACGAATCCAAAGTTACATGTGATGAAACATGTTCGGAGTTACAAAACTTGGTACAAGTTACGCTGAATATTGTCTCAAACCTAGCTCCATACAACCCTTAGTTACCATTCAAATAAAAAAAAAACAAAAAAAAAAACCTTTAATCATCCCCGAGGGGCAATTGACCTAGATTAAACTCTGCTATAATGAATGGTTAAACATTACTAATCTGATAAAGTTCTCAAACGTTTTACCAGCTAAAGGCTAAAAACTGCTAACTATTATAGGATGGACACCAGCTGACTGGGTTCTGATCCAAGACCCACATCTGGATCCACTTTACAGAAGGACCCAGAGCAGCAGAACTTTCAGCTCAAACACAGACGCAGAGTTTCGGAACCAGTCCTGAGAGACGCGGACGGGTCCAGAAAAACTGACCTCTTCCTTCTGCAGAAGACCCAGAGCAGCAGGAGGACCAGGAGGACTAGAAGCGCTGACATGGTGCAGATCCAGGTTTGAGATGAGACGGGCTGCTTCCGGGACAGTCTCTCAAAATAAAGTTCTTCCTAGTGAAGCATGTAGCGATGTGTCGGTCGCGAACGAACCGGCTCTAAGTGAACGACGGGAGCCGCCTCGTCATTGGGAGCCGTCCCGTCCCCTCCCCCCTCCCCTCTTGCTTTGGTGAAAGCCACAGGCGATTGGTCAACATGAGTAACTGCGTGTCCAGAGCAGTAGGGGCGGGGAAGAGGGAGGATCAGACTCAGACACACAGCAGAGCACATGCAGGTGGAGGGAGACAAGAGGGAATGAGGAGGAGGGAAAAGGCAAGTGAGAGGGAGGAGAGTGCTACGAAGATGGTGAGAAAATGAGCACCAGCAGTCGGAAAGTGGAGATTTCTTAAAGTGTTCAGTTATTAAATCCATAGAAATTATCAATATTGATATTGCATTTTTTACATTAGTAAATCATTTTACTTATAGTTTTGCATTATTTTGGTTATAAATGTACTCTACGCAACAGAAAATCTGAGGAGCCACTTGGGAGCTGAGAGAGCCGGCTCTTTTTGGTGAGCTGAGCCAAAAGAACCAGCTCTCTAGAAAGAGTCGGAATTCCCTTCACTAGAAGCAGGATCATTCCATGCGGGGCTCGACACACGGGAGGCGACATTGCCTCTCCTCCATTTTTATGGCAAGCCAGAACCGCCCAAATATGCCACTTTCCCAACCCGTCTAGTTAAGAGATGGCAAAAAAAAAAAAAAAAAAAAAAAACGCTGTTTGATGTGTCAAGATGTCGTAAAATATGGCGAAAACTCTCCCAGAACGCCGTATTTGACGCCAGCCAGAGCCGTTCTTAACGGTCCTGTAGAACGCCGGAAAAAACTATGTTTTTTTCCGGACACTGAACGCTGCTTTTTTCGCCGCTCTGTGACATAAAACGCCATTTTATGTATCGATGCATAAAATGTAAATAGTAGGAACTTGAAGTAATCAATTGTAAATATCTTTTCACTTTATTTTATTATTATAGTTTGAAGAATGCCATAACTGTCAAAAACAGTGCAGATTATTATACATGTGCAACACTGCTAAACCATTTTTTCAGTAAGATAACTGTAATTTTTCCATGCGTTTATTGAAAAGAAAAAAGCTGACTAATCACAGAAATAATGATTAGTTGATTAGAAACAAGTGCTCATCTAGAACATTTGAAATTTGTGTTACAGCAGTTCATGTTTTCAACTTAAATATCAAAATATTACAGAAAGTTAGCAAATCGTTAGCAAGTATGCAGGTGCTTTAGTATTGTAGTGGGCATAATCATCAACAGACACGTTTGTTTTATAAGAGGTTGAAAGTAATTTGTTTTAACCAGCGTTTCAGGATCATGAGGACATTTTCAGAGTCATGTCTTGGTGAAGCAGCAATGAAAAACGTTTTTCTTGAAATATTTATGTAAATAAAAACATTCAAGAGCATATTTTAGCCAACAGAGCTCATTAGCAAATTCTAGTTTAAAAGCAACGCTTTGATGCTCCACCTGAGAATAAATCTGTAAGGCTTGTCACCAGCATTCAGACATCAATTCTGCTTGCTTCACAGCCAGACAGGACACGGTAAAAAAAAAAAAAAAGAGAGAAAGGCGAGACCTTCCTTGGACATCCTAAGATTACAGGGCAACCATCTCTGCATCAAATCCACCTATCAGGCTTGTTTGGTAAAGCGGGCAGATGGACGCCACTCCTTACTACCTGGAGCTTACTTAAAGACACATGCAGGACTCAGAGCAGGGGAAAAAGTTCTGGTCTGATGAGACATCGACTGAATCACAGGCCTATGGTGAAGCACAGAGGCGGCAGCATCATGATGCAGAGATGCTCTTCAGCAGCAGGAACTGAGGGACGAGTCCGGACAGAGGGACAGATGCATGCATTAAAGAACAGAATGTCCGGCGTCCCTCCCGATGGAGCTGCAGGGAGGAACAGGTGTGCTTAGCTGGACATCGTAATCAGACTGGAGACGGTAACAGGTGTGTCTAAGTCAACATTTATCAGTTTTATTTCAATATTATGGGATGTCGTTAGTCTAGAGGAAACGGTGTTTCAGATGAACAGAAAGGATCCCAGTAGCAGAAACATCCCATAATGCACCAGAGTTCTTATATCGCTCCTTGTTTCTATGCATCTGAACCAGGCTGGACCTCAATCAAGAGGAACCACTCCAGAGGTTCTGATCCAACTCACCTGGTTCCACTCAGCAGGTGCTGAACTGACCAGTGGCTTGTGTAACGTGGTGAAGGAGCCATTTCTACCTTCTAACAGCTGTTTCTTTCCGACACAGTCCCAGAGTGCATGAAGCAGCCTCAAGGTCATGCATTCGCTTCCAAACTGTTTACATTCCAGCATGAAGACAGAAGAAGAATGAACTCTTTTCTTTTAATTAATCAAAGAACTCAATTTTAATAAAGCTAATCCATCAAAGTGTTAGTCAATAAGATGTGACCGACCTGTGAAATTAAAATATTAATTATTTTATTATGATCTTAGAAATGAAGTAATGTAACTTTAAATGTTCCAACAGGACTCATTTCACGTAGTGTTAAGAAGACATAACACATTCTTTCACTGATCCAGTCAGAATCTTACAGATCTGACGGAGGCGTGCTTCTGACGGTGTTTGGTCATTTTCATTCGACAATAGACCATGACATCTGAGGTATAAAACTACGCCACGTCAGCTCTAACGCAGTTCAAAGCGTTCCAGAGCAAGTGACGGAGTGGCCAATCCTGATCTTTTAATTCTTCAACCGAAAGAACCACAACAAGCTGAGAAAATCCAGTCGCTATAACAACCCGCAACAGCAACAGCTCCTTTCAGAATAAAAGCTCCACCGACCCAGGCTGGGTCTGACCAGACGCCAAGAAAAGAGTCGTGTGCCGGAGGTAACTCAAGACGGGTCTGGTCGGTACCGCGGCTTCGTCTACCAGCTCGGTGTCCAGAGAGGGTCGCTGGGCCTCGACATTCCTGATCTACAGAGGACTTCCACAAGGCAGGCTGACCCGACTTGATGGTGTCTCATGCGGTTCTGAAACTAACCCAAGCTTATTCCAAAGCAACATCCTCAGTTCCCATCAGAACTAATCGCTTCTTCGGATTTGCTGGTTCCGATTTACATGACACGTCATCCATTCACCGCCTCATCCATTTTTAGTCACACTATACACTTAGTTCTGAAATAAGCCTGGTTTAAATGTTAGTAATACAATTCTTAACTTTTAAACTTGACTCTATTCTGTTGTCTCGGAGTGAATACGTAACGGTTACATAATCTCTGCATTAAAAAGATCCAATCTTCTGGTTTAAATAACCCACCGAACCGTAAGGTGGATTTCATATTTACTATGGAATCCCACGCTTTACGGCTTCTTAAATAAAATGTAAGAACCTCTCATTTCCCTTACACCTGGGAGCATCCGGACCAGAACCCGGACCAGCACAAACTAACAGCCCACCCACACCTGTCCTAGAGATGAGCTCAGGTGTTTCTGGGCCGCGTCCCAAGCCCTACAGACCGAGACGGTCATCCAGGTTCTGGGGCACGGCGCCGCGATGAACAAATAAAAACACTATAAAGATGGACGACACCAAGGTCTGACACCAAGGTCCGAGTTCTCCCGTCTTCCTTCAGAAACACAGCCTTCACGTAGAACGACACCATCTTCAGACCCGTTTTGTGCTTTATGAACGAGACCGCTCTGGTTCTGATGGGTTTGGTCCCGATATCCACAGAGACTAACACCCGGTTCTGTTCTAACCTGAAATTGAACATAACACTGGAAGTTCTCCCGGGTCTGGGTCCAAGTTCCTGGACCGGGTCGCCATCTTTAAAGGAGAGCAGGACCTCTGCACCTGGAACCAGCAGAACCTTCTGATGCTGTTCTGTCTGAGATGGGTTGGATCAGAACCAAATGAGTCCATTTGTTAAAAATCAAACAATAAAACAAATAAATACAAAGTTAAAAAAAACACTGGTTCTGGTTCTGACTGGGTTTGTTTGGTCTTGCTGGACTCTTCTGTTCATTAAGATAACCCGGTTTGAGTTCTGAGGAGAATCGGAACATCGGGCATGCTTCATGTGGTCCCTCCAGCTCAGACAGGCAGATCAGCTGGTTTTGGTTCTGAGAGGCAGCTGGTGAACAGAACCGGGTGGTACCACTACCCAGCTGGGTCACCAGTAGAAGGACCGAGACAGGAAGTTGGCAGCAGCTCCGAGCCAGGTAGTTCCATCCTGACCCGATCCCACGCGGCTCAGCGCCTTGTCCGGGTCCTGAGATGAACTCTCGTCCTCCGGCAGGTACTCGGGCAGGTCCAGGTTCTGCTCCACCACCACAGAACCCTCCTCAGACAACGGGATCAGAACCTGCAAACACACACATGAGAAACGCTCTGTGGGACTGGGTTCTGTGGTCCTGCTCAGGGACGCTTTGGGTCGTCTCTGACCCGTCAGTGGGTTCTGCTAGAACTGTCCAGCTGGTTCTGGATCAGATCCTGTTCATAAGACTCGCGCAGCATTTATGACATCATGTTAGAGCAGCGTGAGCCCGAGGCTCTGCTCACACCACTGATGTTGGAGGGGTGTTTCCATGACAACCAACATGCTATGGGCGGGGTTCCCCTGGGACTCTAGTGATGTCACACTATGTCGACTTCAATTCCTAGTTAGAGACACACAGACGGAGACACACAGACGGGGACATGGGGCCGGACAGAAACAAAGACACAGAGACGGAGACACAGAGACAGCGTCTCAAGCTCTCGGTACCAGACCTCATCTCCGTGTTCTGATTGGACCACCTGCTGAGCCGTCATCACCTGCGTGGCAGCGATGGCCGATGCCAGAGCCTGAAGACAGAACCAGCAGGAAGCATCACAATGGCTCGGGTTCTGATGGAACCGGACCCTCATGCTGACTAACAGCTACACAGCAGAACCGGCTCACCTCAGCCGTTAGGTCCGATCGGACCCGGACGATGCACCTCTTTGCAGCCATCTGGAAGGTGAAGCTGATGACTCCTCGGATCTTCAGCAGCGCCGCCTCACACAGACTCCTACGGTTCTGTGGACAGAGGAGGGTCACACGATCAGAACTATAGCTCGGTTCTGTTCTGGCTCAAAATGTTCTGGGCCTCACCGTGTCGTCCAGCCCGTCGATCTGCAGGATTACGGTCTTGGCTCTCTTGTTGCTGAAACCCAGGAAGAATTGAGCCTTCCTCCGGCTGCTGAGTGGCACCTGGGCCGGTTCCGGGTCGGTGCTGCCCGAGGCCTGCAGGAGCTCATAGATCTCTGATGCCAGCAGCTTGGTCTCTCCAGGAGTGGTGGTTCTGCAGCACGAATAACATACAGAACCGCTGTAGACCCCTTTATCTGTTTAAATATCAGGATTCTGTCAGAACCACATCACAGGCTCTTCCCAGAACAATTAAGGTTCTGCTCCAGATGCTGCACAGAGTCTGAAGCTGGATCAGTTCTAGCTCGGTTCTGGTCTACAGAACTCATTACGGTGGTTCTGATAACCCTCCGATCATCGCACCTGTATGGCAAGCTGTTTTAACATTATTAGGCAGATCGAATTCTATACTTCTATTGCTCCAGGAGCATGGGGTGGATGGTCTGCTGCTAAGGGCCATTCAGTCCCTGTATTATGACACGTCTCACCAATCAAGCAACTGCAGCATTTTAATAACTAGTATTAAAGGTGAACACACCAATATTTGCACAAGAATAATTTTTGTTTTAAACTCTCAGTGACACACTTTGCGTGGGGGGGGGGGGGGGGGGGGCATTTAATTTTTCTTGGCGTCTGGAAAAACATCTCCTTCTGCCCCCTTTATTTTGGTCCAAGATCATTACTGGGCTGGCCCTATTAAAAATGTTCTACACCCCTGCTTAGTAGACTTAATGAAGTATTTTTAAGCCAGTATAAAAATGACTGAAACACAAATTTACATATTTGGCATTATTGACCAATATCTTTGATTTAATTTATTTGTTAAGAACATCAAGATGCATTACAGTGAACATTATAATAAAGTACATTTTTCTAGTGCAGAGAGGAGACAACCCATAGAAGCACTGATTTGATCTCATTTCAGAGAAAAATAGAACAGGTCAGATGCACATAATAAATAAAATTACTAACATAAACTCAGGAATCTGTTTCTTTGCTTCATTGTTCTGGTGCTGAAAATATCACTAATGCAGATCAAAGGAGATACACAGATGAATGCACCTCTTATTTATTATTTGGAAATTAGTGGGTGTGGTTTACATCAATATATTATTTTAAATCTGAAAGTGATATGGACTGATCAGAAGTTGCTATGTTTATTGTTTATCTGAAAACTATTTACAGAGCAGCCTCAGAATTGAGCAATGTTGATTGAGGTGTGTGTGTGTGAGAGCGAGCGAGAGAGAGAGAGAGTTAAAAAAAATTTTTTTAAACCGACCGGAGCGGAGTCAGTGACCGACGCGTGCACGAGCCGTTTACAGCTCTGTCTTGTCAAATGCACCACGTACGTTACGAAAAAAGTAACTTTAAATAACTTATTCAGCCGAAAAAGAGGCGAGCTGAAGAAAACCTAGGGAGCACTGAAGAAACGTCAGCAACAGTGAAGCAAGCACAGAGAGATCCGTTACTGTGTGTGTGCGTGTGTGTGTGTGTGTGTGTGTGTGTGTATGGGTCGGACGGACTGAGCTACCGGCTGCAGTTTTGTGTGTAGGGAAAGGCGGGCGCTCTATGTGACTGGCCAATCACAGAGCGTGAAGACAGTCAGTTACCCAATGAGGATTTTCCTTCAGCACGATTACAGATATTTACGAGGTTTACTCGTTTCATGCTCGTATTCGTCAAAAATGCTTTATCCGTACCGGATACTAGTCTGAAACGAGTATCCGGCTCATCCCTAGCTGTAACCACCCTGCCCTGCCTCCTCCTCCTTGCTGCCTGCCGGCTGTGATCACAAGCAACAACAGAGTAGTTCCCGCTGCTACTTCGGGAAACGGCGCAAAAAAAAAAAAAAATCAATACAACTTGGCATCTTGTAGGCGTGGCGCTGGGATTTCAGCCGTGGCGGCCCGCCACGGCTACTCCTATGCAAGGGAAACACTGGACAAACACTGTCAGCATTTAGACTCAGGGTAAAAACAAGGTCTAGAGTGTGCCCCCTGGTGTGTGTGGGGCCAGAAACATGCTGGGTAAAGCCGAAGGTGTCCATGAGGCTGGAGAAAGTCATGGCAAAGAGATCGGAGGGATCATCAACGTGGATGTTAAAATCACCCACAATCACCAGTCTGGACAGCTTCACAGTGGAGGACAGAAAGTCACTAAACTCCTGAAGGAAAGAACTGTCTGGACCAGCTGGACGATAGACCACAGCACAGTAGAACGGGTCCTTACGCCCGACTTTAATCAGCTGCAGTTCAAAGGAAGCAAAGTGACCAGAGGTTGTAGAGCTACATGGAAGATGGTCTCTGAAAACAACAGCTAGGCCTCCACCACGACCAGAACCCCGGGGCTGGCTAAGAAAAGAATAACCACTCAGGCAGAGTTCAGACCAGAATAATCAGATGTTTGCTGCACAGAAAGTCCAGGTCTTTAGAGAGAATCAGATCATTGAGCAGGAAGGACTTATTGTTAACAGAGCGGGTATTTAATAGAGCCGTGCTGAGTGAGGTGGAGGAATCAGAAACTACAGAAACAGCTGGAGTTAGTGGACGTAGATTAGCAGGGTTAGATCCACGGTGTTTATAAAGACCACTCATGGAGGGAACAGGAGGAGAAACCACTGATGGATGAGGATAAACAGTCCTGAGGAAACTTAGACGAAGAAACCGCGCCACATCACAGCCTGGTGGGACACAAAAAACAAACAAAGGACAAGAAGCTAAAAGATCACACCGATGTTTACTAGATAAACCACGCTTTACGAGAAGTCTTATTCTCACCTGGATTCCTGCTCATTTACCCTTTTTCCTCTGACGTTTTCCCGAGATGGGATAAACATCGCTGGAGGTGTTCAGGTAGAAATCAGCGTTTGGCTCAGGGCCAGCGTGCTGCTGATGTAAACAAACAGAGAGGTAAATCCTCAATGCATCCTGAGCGATCGCGGACGAACGGAAGGACAAAAGAGTCCGGTGATCATAGGAGGTGGTAGCCGGGACACTACCGAAGAGGATCGCAGACAGGAGCAAGGCGGAAAGGAGGTTAGTAGAGAAAAGTTAGAAAAAGTGGCCGATGACCGCGGCTAAGCCAAGAACAGGAGCCATCTTAACTACCCGGAAGCAGGAGGGCCTATAGACCCAATAATAAACAGACTCAACCACGTTCAGCAGCCAGCAGGTTTATGAGGAATCACCTGCAAGCAGCTGTCTGAGTCAGAGGACTCCAAAGTGCTTTACACTACAGTGCATCATTCATTCACACACACACACACACACACACACACACACACACACACACACACACACACACACACACACACACACAGACTGTAGCAATAACAGTATAAATGCCAGAGGTCACTAAAACACCTGCTGTTAGGTAAAAAAAACAGCAGTTCGTAGGACACTGGCACGAACTCATGACCCCTGACCTTCCCATCCTGGACCGGGTTAATCAGAACCACTTGGACTTGACTCACTTATGCATGACATTCTGCAGGCTCAGCATCATCCCCAGCTCCTCCTTCAGCTTCTCCCTGTTGGGCCGACATTCTGCCAGGTACCGGACCGCCTGGAGACAAGCACATCCAAACAGAACCTGAGAACCAGAACCAGTTTCTTCCTCTGTGTACACACACTAATCAGATCTGCACCTGGACTTACCAGCAGGGCGGAGTAGACCACCTGGGGGTTCGGGTGGTCCAGGAACAGGATGAGGCCTGGCAGGCAGCCCTGGTCCTGGACGATGGCTCTGCGGTTCATGGGGTCTGAGGCCAGATCCCTCAGCTGGTTGACGACAATCAGCGGGTCCGACTCGGCACTCATGGCTGACGGGGGTCACTCACCCATGCACGAGGCACCTGAAGGGGCAGAACCAAACAGTCTGGTAGTTCAGGTTACCATGGAAACGGACCTGCACCTGCATGAAAGTGGGCTCTAAGTTTCCTCAAAGGTCCTCCTCCTGACTCAGAACCAGCCAGAACCTAAATCTGAAACATCTTTTTAACTCTTAGAACCAGCAGGCCCAGTTCGAATCAGAAACGGAACCAGGAACACCTGGCCGTGGGAAACTTCTAATCGATGGGGATGCGCGCGCACCCAGAACTTGGCTCAGTGGTTTTATCTCGGGTACTGTCCCTGGATCCCGCCGAACCGACCAGAACTCCGCCATGTTTAGAAGGTGTCTCTGAGCGCGTGGGCTCACGTTATAATCACGGAAGTTCTTAACCCAGCTAGGGTTTGGTTCGGTGCCCCGCAGACTCCGTCCGGTTGGCTCAGTGGGCCTCATCGGGCTTCAAGTACTGCGTTCGGGCTCAAATCGGCTAAACGACGCCCCATGTCGATGCTAACGCTAACGGAGCTCACCTAATGGTGACAGACTCTGACGTCAGCTCTGCGGTGGGCTCTAAGTTTCCGGATACGCCATAAACTACGGGTGCCTGGTACGTTTTTCCCGCCACAGATGACTTCCAAAACTATCAACGGGTTTACTTTTTCACCGGTGATGCTGAAACACACGAATGCACGCTTCCGGTAGGTGAGCGAGCAGGGCGACCACGTGTCAACATCAGGTCCTGTGATTGGGTGGATCACAGCCATTATCGATCCTTCTAACCAATGAGCTGCCAAAGATCCCACTCCTAAATAGTATGTAGGATAGCTGACTCAGCCCATCCTACAAATTGAAATGTGACATTCATATTTTTGTGTAGGACAAAGCAGCTGAAGTAATAGAAGCAAGACGGGAAAGGAATGAAGAACTTGTCAGCTTCATTGTTGAAGAAAAGGGTGCTGAGGAAAGCCTTGAGGTACGGATTGTTTTTACGGCCATTAGTTGAAACTGTTGTTTTAGTAAAGTGTTTTGAAGTCTTTCACTGAATGCTTGAAGATATCTTTCTTTAACACTTTTTTGAGACCCCTACACACATAAATGCGCCCGCACATGCAAACACACGCACACACACACACACAACATAGGGAATTGAAAATAAAAATTCTGTGATATTAATTATAGCAAATTAATTCATGCTTTGGCAAAGTATACAATAAGTGTTCACAAGAAAATCAATGTGCAGAAACCACAGTAAAATTATTGCTTTATAAAAAAGGAAATCATGCGTAATAAGTTACAGCTTCTCTGTTTCCAACAGGCCATTTTATCGGGTGATGAGATGCCACATTTCCATTTCAAAGAGAAGTGGGTTCCAATCATCTTTGATGATGACCAACAACTCGACCGGATCATGACATACCTGTCACACCTGCTAGACAACTTCAAACACAAATCAGTTGAAGTCCTGAGCATGGTTAGCCTGGCAAGCCAGACTAAATAAATGTATTATTTAGTCTGGCCATGCTCAATTGACGGCTCTCGGTTGTGGGGCGGGTTCTACCGTTGTCTTTCAAATGATCTCCGCATTCCACTGGATAATGAATGTGACATACTCTTGTTTCACTCTGTTGCATCATCCCACCCACCAGGCATATAGAGTGCCCTGATTGGCCCACAAAGCGGATAAAGCTCTGTGATTTGTTCACTGAGCAGATAGAGCATGATTGGCCCACCATTATGGACCAATCACAGCTCTTTATGTGTTTGAAACCCCTCTAGAGAGCTGTGATTGGCAAGCCAGAGTCCTGGTAGGAGCTGCTGAGGTTCCAATGGAGCATGCCTAGACCATTCTTTGCAAAGCAAGAATTTGGTCTAGTTCACTAGGCTAGAGCATGGTCTCTTCTGACCGGATCAAGTACACACTGACTGTAATGCTGTCAGAGGTAAGTTACGAACACCACTTTGTAAATAAACAAAAATGTCATTGTCCACAATGTTTTAATATTTATGTAATTTACTTGTACATACACAAACATAACCAGGTGACTATTTTGGGACATTAATACAAACTAATAATGAGTAAGGTAGCTTTGAGGTAGATTGTGAGCAGTTTGAGAGGAGTACATGCTATCCTGGGATTACTGATTTGCTTTATGTGATCCACTTTTATTTTAGACTATCTTTCATCCCTTTTACTAATGAATAAAGACCACTATAGTGGCAAGAAATATTGTAGATTCAAGAAATATTTTAAGAAGGTCCAGTTGTGATCACACAAATGCTAGATCAGGGTGGGAATAGGCAAGGTGAACCTGAGTCTGAAATTAGAAAAAATGTCAGTGGAAAATGAGTGAATACACGTTATTATAAAGCACGATAAATCTTGAAAAAACTTTTTCTAATGAACCGTTTTATGTAACACAGGCATCCGCAACAGCACTCAAAGGTCCAAGGGCTAACCAGGGCTGAGGCAGTGGAAAAGATTGAGCACGGTGAGATGGATGAGAGGCGTAAGACAATCTGAGCCACTGAAAGATATCTGCAAGAAAAAGAGTTTTTGTATGTCTTTGGGAATGGAGAAATATATAATACCTGACTTTTTTTTTTAGCAGCAAAAAAGTGGAACTTCTCATGAAACTGAAAACAGAAATGGAGACGTTCAAATCTCTGAAGTTCTCTGGAATGTGGGAGAGTAAAAAAGTTTGAGGCTGAATATTTCTGCTTGTTTTTAATTAAGACACAGAAACATCAAAGTCATTTTTGCATAGTTGTGGCTGTTCTGTAACTGTGCTACATGTTACCGAAAAAATACAATTGTTTTGAAGTTTCACAAATCAGGGAAAGGTTTCACAAATCCCACACTGTGTTTTATTTGATCTGCTATTATAGTAGAATAATGTAGAACAGGTTTGAATAGTGTAGGGCAGTGGTTCCTAACCTGGGGGTCCCGACCCCCACAAGGGGGCGCCAAAGCATCTCAGTGGGTCGCCAGGACCTTTCCACTTTAAGGGGTTAAAACTTCATTTATTACTTGTTTATAGCCTACATTTTACTCAGTTTTTTTCATGAGTGAAAAGTTTACTGATATTAAGACAGGAAATAGTTAGTACAGAAAAAGTAACACACTTTTAAGAACATTTGGCTCAGCTCACTGTTTTATTTTCAAGTGTCAAAAGTTCATTAAAATAGGACTGGTTGATTAATCACAGCCTTTACAGTAAATAATCTAGTATAAACAGTAATATACACATTTAAGTACATTTTGCTCAGTGTATTTTTTATGTGTCAAACGTTTATTGAAAGGAATGATTGATTTATCAGTGTTTACAAGAAACAATGTGTTCAGAAAAGTAATACAAACTGTCAAGCACATTATGCTCTGTTTGGTTTTGTTAATGACTTTGTTCTGTACTGCAGCCTACTATTACTGTTATCTATTGAATCAAAGCATATTAAAATGTGCTTGAACAATTTTATCATTTCTTAATGTTTGTATTGGAAGAGAGAATGGGAGGGGGTCGTCAAAAATTTTACTGGTAAAAAACGGGTCCCTTGGGAAAAAGGTTGGGAACCACTGGTGTAGGGGCTGTACTTCTTGAGCTACAGCTTTTCCAGTGTTGGCCAGATGCTGAAAAAACACATAAATCTGGATTTGTTGAAGTTTCACAAATCAGGAAAAGGTTTAACAAATCCCAGACAAGGTTGTATGCAATCTGCTATTATTTCAGAATAATCTAGAACAGGTTTGAACAGTGTGGCTGTTGTAGTTTTTGAGCTACAGCTGTTCCATCGTTGGCCAGATGCTGAAAAAAACCCGCATAAATCTGGATTTGTTGAAGTTTCACAAATCATGGAAATGTTTCACAAATCCCACACTGTGTTTTATTTGATCTGCTTTTATAGTAGAATAATCTAGAACAGGTTTGAAAAGTGTGGGTGTTGTAGTTTTTGAGGTAGAGCAGATTAAAGATGGTCAGAGTAGAGAAAAATTGGGTGTAATGGCCCTTTAGCCGTTACCTGAATCGGAAGCTAACTTCAGCCTAGTCATCAGCAGCGTTTGTTCACAACCGTTTTCAGGTAAAGTAATTTTGTTTATTCTAGAAGCTTTCGGGACTTACATGTTAACTTTAGATGGTTTCATGTATGTTTTAAGCTACAGAATGAACTTGTTAAATGTACACAACACATTACTACAGAGTATTATCATGTAGGTAATTAATATAACCCAAATGCATTATAAATGTTGAATGCAGTCGGATGTTTTCTAATGTAAATTGGACCTTAGAACTTATTTACCATCAAATGGGGGTAAAACGTTTTAAAAAACAGGCTTTTTAATAAAATGGCATTTAAGTGTTTTCAGTGTGCATTTGTTTATTCAACTTAAGCCTAATAATGATTAGATCTGTCTTAAATAAAAACTACAGAGAATTTACATTTTTAACTATTCCCTGCTGTTTCTTTAAACAGAACAGAATCAGTGTACTGCAGGTTATATGTTTGTTTTACATTTTTCAATGGAAAAAAAACCTCTTATTTAATCTATTACAGGTCAGCATGCACTGTGCTGCACATCTGCCTCTGTGCTGGTGAAGTTGTGGGTCTGGAGGATGAGCCTGAGGAAGATGTGTGTGGAGGAGGTCAGCGGTGCTCTGTCCTGGAGGAGGTACCAGCAGACCACCACTACTGTTAACAGGAAAGTCATTTATGTAGGAACCTCTATTAAAAACAACACTGTGGTTTTATTTGCTGAAGAGTCACAATTGTTGTAGTGGATCCATAAACCATCTCCTCATTTCATATTTCTGAATACGTCTTAGAGATGTAACAGCCGTCGTCTGAGCCAGCCCAGCAGGCCCTGTAGATGGATGATGGAGTGGACAGTGAGAGGAAGCGTCCCAAAGCTCTCTGCAGACCGTCCTGTATGATGTTCCTCTGGCCAGAAACGTCCAGCCACGGGTCTGCTCCAGCCCTCCATCCACGTCTGGATCCTCCTGCAGCAGATCCAGCTGCACTGTTAAAGACTTCCTGCTCACTCAGTTTAAATAAATGATCCAGGAAGAGTCACTCAGGTTAATCCTGCTTTAACCGTACAAAACCGGTCCATACTGGTTTTGATCTGTAAATAATTGTAACGTATTATAAATAATCTTGTCTCCTTACCATCTTTTCATTTTCTGTTCATGTAACACAGGGGTGTCAAACTCAAACTCACGCTGGGCCGAAATGAAACTGGGACGGAGTCGAGGGCCAAACTTAATATTTTTGAAAAAGTGACGGCAAATTTGCACGCTTTCTTTATCAACATATATGCAATTTTGAACCTTTAAATTTGGAAACAAACTTATTTCTGCATTAACACTGAATGTGGAATAACCAAATTACACACACGCAAGTCAGTTTTAAATAAAAGGCATCAGTGGTATTCATTACTTGTGGTATATTCAGCATTTTTAAAATCTATTCAGGATTTATGTTTTCTTGTTTATTCATTTTTCTCATTTTTTATTCTCCTTTTTTTCTCCTGTAATAAGTGTCATCGCTGCTGTGACGTCTAGCTTTCCCCACTGAGGAACAATAAAGGGATTTTCTATTCTATTCATCTATCTGCAGCCTTTCCACTTCCTGTTTACTGTAGGTTAAATCTTTTCTCACGGGCCAACAATAAAATAAAAATATCATTTTATCTTAAATGAAAATGCAACATCTCACCTGTTGATTTTCATGTTTTGGAGCAGAAAACCAAGATATTTAAAGCTCAATTTGCTCCAATCATTTACTGTGATGCTCACCTGTTCCAGCCAGATACCTGCATCATGGGGTTGATCTGAGCTGAGACTCCTGTTCTTTTGTTCATTCAATTCAATTCAAAAATACTTTATTAATCCCAGAGGGAAATTGGAAATCTTGGGAAATCTTCATCATAATAATGACAACATTAGATGACAACAGGTGCTCACATAGGTTTGTGCTGATGAACATGTCAGAGCAGCTTGACCACGTTGTTGTGTGTCAGGGAGGAAACACGACAGCAGCCACAGAGCCGTGCTGGTTTGAGCGTGTCGCTGTTCGCTGGAGTTATATCAGCTCTGTCTGGAAGTTAGTTTGAAAACTTTCTCTTTAAGTCGTGAACACATTACTGAGCGGCTAGAATCTCAGTTTCTGGGCTTCAACGTCAGAAAACAGCTGAGTGAACTCGGCGCTGAGTGAGAGGAGTGTAGTTTGTCCGAGACAGCGGAGCTGCAGACACCAGCAGCAGGCGCTGGAAAAAAACACAAAGGAGGGTGCGTGCCGGCTCTGCGCTGACGCCGCAAAGCATCATGGGAGTTGAAGTCTTTGCTGTAAAATCGGCCAGTGGGCCAGTTTTAATATATGTTTGATATTTATCTCGCGGGCCACATAAAACTGCTCCGCGGGCAGCATCTGGCCCGCGGGCCTTGAGTCTGACATATGTGATGTAACATGTTCAAAAACATCTGTAATTAATAAAACTGGTGATAAAATCAATGACCAGAAAATGTTATCAGTTAATATTTGTTTTAATAAATGTGTTAAAATATCAAACAACTGAATAACATTAACATGATGACAGTAGAAGGCCTTTCTCCCAGGAGGACCACCAGGTACAGCCTCTCCTGACCCTGGACACCTGTGGGCCATTCCCATCTGTACCGGGTCGGTCCGGGCCGGGTAGCCCCAGTCGGCCCCAGCCTGGCCCGGTTGATTCCACACATCCTTGTCTTAAGCCCATGTGGGCTGATTCTAAGCACCAATCAGAGGCTTGCTCCAATGGAAGGTGCGAATTTGCTGTCAGCAGTGGGTGTGTTGGCCCTGGTCGGCCTGAAGCAGACCCCCTCGAGAAGAGGGCTGAGAATGAGCCTTGGTTGGCCCAGAAAAATACCAGGCCACCCAGATATGTAAACAACCTACGCTACCCGGCCCGGGCCGACCCGGTACAGATGGGAATGGCCCACTGCTGTCACAAACGTGCCGGTGAGCGAAGCGGAGATGAGGTGAGGATCCACCCGCGGGTGAGGAAGGCAGGCAGACAGGTAGGAACGGTTTTACAATAGTTTTAATATCAAGCACGCAGGACATAGAAACAATGACCCAACAAGAGACACAGAACTGAAGGGATTTAAATACAAGAGGGCTGGGAGCTTGGGTGATTGGAAAACGAGAGGCAGGTGGGAGCATTTAACAGAGACACATGGCTGAACCAAATAGAGAGACAGGACAGGGTGTGACACCTGCAGTCCTAAACAGAGAAAATCAGATCGCAGGTGACAAGAAGGCAATAAACACATTTTTACATTTATCCACATAAGATATAAATTATATTCTTCACACAAACAATTTTTACTTCATTAAAATGTGTCAGCTGTGTAAATCCCTGAATGTTAAACTACTTTTCACAGCAGAACACAGAAGAACTTCTGTCATTGTGTGTAAACAGCTTCACACTTCACCTCTAAGCTTAATAAAAACGCTTCTCCTTAAAACAAATGACAAGTTTAATTCGACACACACACAGGAATAACTGGGACCCGCGAATCAAACTCGTTCTGGCTGATTTCTGCCTAAAATGTAATTTAAAAAACAAATATACAAACGAAAAATGTTTATAAACTGAACCGCTTTAAGCTTTTTAGTTTTCTACTGCTAGTTTTTAACAAACTTACGTTTAGCTCTCCCCATTTTCTCTTCCTGTTGAAAATCCACAGCCGGCGCACAAAGCATGCTGGGATAGCCTTATTCTTTGAGGATACAACAGACCCGTCCTCGAAATGTGGGAGGAGCGAGGACGCATTTGAGGACGCGAGAATGAGTATTCTTGGAATTTGGTGCACCGCCTGGCATATGTTTCATGTTCTTTGTTCAATTGTGTATGCAATTTGTTTGTATACTTATCACCTTGTTCAATAAAGTTTTGAAAAATAAGACAGTACTCGTCGCTGCGCTGTGATGTCATCGACCTCAAAATGCACTACAAGCATCCTTCCCTTGGATTCGGACCATTCGGACACACCAGTTTCACCAGTATGGGGTGCCATTTGTAAAGTCAAACAGTCATAATCTAACAGCAATATTTTTGGTTATTTAGCAAATCATAAGAGAAAAAATTGGGAGTTCACTTTTTCAAAGTCATATTTTCACCATGTAATTCATACATTTATAAATGTTAAAGTTTCCAAATAAATATTTAGTTAGCAAGCTAAATATTTAATTTATAGTTAAATATTTCTTTTGCAAACTAAATATTTAGGTCTGATCTAAATATTTAGTTTGTAAAATAAATATTTAATTCACTAACTAAATATTTAATTTGTAAATTAAATATTTAATTCACTAACTAAATATTTAATTTGTAAATTAAATATTTAATTTGTAAATTAAATATTTATTTTCTGAAAAAAATATTTAGATCCCATCTAAATATTTATTTTGGAGCTAAACATTTAGTTTGCAAAATCAGTATTTGGGAAATAAATATTTAAGTCTGACCCAAAAATATAAAATATAGTGTGGCGCTAAATAACATCTTGGAAAATAAATATTTAGCTGGTACTTAAACATTTAGCTAATATGCAAATTCACTTGCCAATAAGCAGAAGTTGGTTACTAAAATAAAAGCTGGATCTCGCTAACCTCTTTATAAACTCTTGCTCCGAACCAGAACTTGTTTTATCTCCGGTTCTATTCTTCAGCCAACACGTCGGACATGTTCAGAAGAATAGAACTGGAGATAAAACAAGTTCTGGTTTTCAAATATGACTTTGAAAAAGTGAACTCCCAATTTTTTTTCTCATGATATGCTAAATAACCAAAAATATTGCTGTTAGATTATGACTGTTTGACTTTACAAATGGCACCCCATACACCAGCAGGTCCAAGGAAGGACTTTATGAGATCAGGGCTCTCCTACGATTGGCTATTTCATGTAGCAGCAGTCTCCTCACTTAGAGCAGCTGTACTCCTGCCACATAATCAGCTCTTTGGGAGTTTTCTAAAGAAAATGCGAACTTAGCGCTGTAATAATTATTCAGTCCTGTTTTGCAAAATAGATGTTTTTGTTCCTTTAATATAAAAATACACGAAAAATGTAAAAAGTTTATTTATAATAAATCCTGTTGCGTTTATCACACTGTTGAACCCACTTTATATAGTACCGAGGTAATCAGTCTATCTAATCAGTCAGTGTAATTGTGATAAATGCTACAAGATTTAAGTTCACGTCTGACGTTTTCAGGTTCTTTGGTAATAGACACAAACTGGTTTGTTGCAGAACAGAACCGGATGGTTTCATAGCACTAAATTCACATTTCCTTTACAAAACTCAAGATCTGGCTGCAGACATAAAACAGCTGCACTTAGCGAGGGAAGACAGTCTTTAATAACAACTGTTCAGGCTTTTGCGTGACCTCCATCACCACTCTCTCCTTATTCTGCTCTGATTTCACTCTTTCCTATTCTATTACTCTCTCCCTTTCCTTTTATATTTCTGATCTGAGAGCAGATGAAATTTGAACTGATAAACAAAAAGACACTTTGCGTGTTTTCTTATTTTTAGATCAATAAGTTTGGAATTAAGTAATTCCGTAAGAGCACACGGTTCTGGAGGGTCAGAGTTTGATGTTCTGATGGGGAGAGGCTGAAGAACGGGTCTGATAGAAGCACTGGACCCAGAGAGGCAGTGGGGAACTCGTCTCCACCTGGACTTCTGC